TCGACCATCATCTGTGGTTTTGCGTAGGCGCAAAGCGGAGCCGCGCGCTCGTTGACGCGGAGGTACACCGTTGTGGGCGGGCACAAATCGGCCACGATTGCGCGTTGGTCGCGCGCGTCAGGGCGCCGCGACCGCGGCCTCGTTGCGCAAGCGCGGGTCGTCGCGCCGTCGCGCGCCAGGGATGGCCGCCGCGGGGCGGCGGTCGGCGCCGCCGTGTGCCAGTGGCAGCTGGCGCGGGGCCGGCGCCGCCAGCCCTGTCGCGGGCCCCCTGCGCCCGCCCGCGCCTGCGCCGCGCGCGGCAGGTTCCTGCTCGCGCTTGTAGCCACGGAGCAGCTCGCGCTGGCTGAAGCCGCGGCGCATCGCAGCAATTGCTTGGAAATTGCAGCGTAGGCCCCGCGCGCTATGTTTGCCGCTCTTTGGTCGTCGTGCGTCCCGCGCAGCCGCGGCCTCGAAGCGCCGCGCGCGCCTCGGCGTAGCCTGCGACGAAGATTCGCGCACGGCGCGCCCCCCTTCGCCCCCTTGCGCGCCGCGGCAGCGGTGCCCCGAGTTCGCGCCGGCGCGGCGCAGCTGTGGGCGGAGCAGCTCCGCGCGGACGACCCAAATTTCAACTTGGGGCAGAGAATCCAGCAAGGTCGACTCGCGCGCCCTACAGTTGGCGCGCGACGCATGCGACACAGAAGAGGGCGTCGCCCATGCGACGGCGAGCGTCGCACCGCCTGGCTGCGCGCCCTCCCACATCTGCCGCGCCCGCGCGCACGGGCGCAAGCGACCCGCGTTGCCGGGAGAGGGCGCGGGGCGGGCGGCGCCGGCTGGTCGCGGCGCGCCGCGCAGCGCAGGAGCAGCGGCTCCTGGGGCGCTCGACCGAAGGGCCGGAAGCGCGAGCGCCCGTGGAGCGATCGGCAAATAAAAAGACGAGCTACCGCGTCAGGCGAAGACGCAGCCGCGGCTAGCGGCGAAGCGCTAGGCGCAGCTCGTAACGGGCGTGGGCAAGCCCCGCAGAGACGGCATTCTTCAGCCGCCAGAACGGCTTGGGCGCAGCTCTCTCAGCCGCCCCCGCCGGGTCGGGGTCAGTGGCCCAGGCGCGCGCGCGCGCGATCGCGCATGGCGCAAATACCACCACCACCACCAGCATCATCACCAGCAGCATAAACATCAGCATCAACATCATCATCATCACCACCGTCATCATCATTACCATCATCATCAGCATCATCATCATCATCATCGTCCTCATCCTCGTCCTCATCCTCGTCCTCATCCTCGTCCTCATCCTCGTTATCCTCCTCCTCCTCCTCCTCCTCGCCCCCCCCCTCCCCCCTCCTCCCTTCTCATCCTGCTCTTCCTGGTGCTCCTCCTCCTCCTCGTCGTCCTCCTCCTCCCCCTCCTCCCCATCCTCCCCACCCCCCCTCCTCCCTCCGCCCTCCGCCCTCCTCGCCCCCCCCCCCCCCCCCCCGCCTCCCGCCCCCCGCCTCCCACCTCCCGCTTCCCTCCCCCCGTTAGTCGTAAGTCGTTCGTTGTCGGCGTCAAAGTCGCCATCGTCGTCGTCGTCGCCGCCGTCGTCGTCGCGTCAACCGCCGGCATCTGGAGCAGCGCCTCGGGTCGGCGGCGCTGGCCGGAGGCCATTCAAATCCGCCGATCCGGCGCGTGAGCTGCAAGGGGCCTCAGCAAGAGCTTCAGCTCTGAGCCTGGGGGCCCGGCGCTTTCTCCGCGATTTGCGCATCCGGGCCCCGCCGAGGGAAGCGGGGGGGGGGGGGGGGGCGGCCTCCATCTGGCGTGAATGATTTGCGCATTCCCAGAATGTTTCGGGCGGCCCCAGGGCCCCCCCTCAGACCTGGCCGGGGCCCCCCCCGGAACCCCCCCCGGACCCCTCCAATGCGCGAGAAGAACGAGGGCCGGAAGAATCGCGGAGGGAGGAGGCCACGGAGCCGCGAAGATCACCGAGCCCGGAGCCCCCCGGATCGGCGGCACTGGCCAGAGGCCATTACAATAATAGTGGTCGGCTTGCCAAGCGCGCGCTCTCTCAATCGCGCCTGGGCGTTCGAGCGCGCGACGCCTGGCCGAAGCCAGCAGGGGCAGGGCGGGTCGCGAAGCTCCGCGAGGCAACGCGTGATTCGCGGGCGGCTCTACAACGCCTTACATCGGTTTCGGTCGCGGTTGTTTTCCTGCGCGATGCCGGCCGTGCCAGCGCTGGCAACGCCGCTGCCCGTGTCCTGCGCGCGGATGCGGGCGGCGCCCGGGGTGGCGTGTGCTCGCGGCAAATCTCGCAGGGCGCGCGCCGCCGGCACTCGGTCGCCAGCGCGACGGCTGCGCGCGGCAGGCGATGCCCGCGCCGCCCGCGCTACCAGGGCCGCGGGGCGTGCGCGATCGGTCTCGACGTTGCAGCGACAATGCGCGGCGCGACGTTTGCGTCGCTGCTGGCTGTAGCAGCGGCGGCGAGGCGGCGAAACTCACCTTTTTGGCAAGCGAGTTGGGCGGCAAGCCCGCACTCTGGGGCAAATGGCGCCCCGCCGCGGCATCGGCCTCGCCGCCCGCCGCAGCGGCGGCGCCGTGGGCGGCGCAGACTGCCCCCGCCGATGCGCTCGCATTCCGCGAGCGCGCGCTCGCGACGCTGCGCGAAAGAGGTCGGGTTCTCAGGGCCACGGGCGCCGTGGAGAAATGGCTCCAGGGGGGGGGGGCGCCACCCGGCGCGTCGCGCAGCGCGTTGACGGGCCGCTCTGCGCCGAAATCGCAGAGCGCATTGCTTTCTGCAGTCGGCGCCGCGCGGAACTCTTCAGGGCGAGGGCGAACCATGTCGGTGAGCTCCCGCGGCCGGGCCGCGGCAGCCCAGAGGAGCTCCCACCCCGTCTGGGCATCGCGGAGCTGCTAGGCAACGCCGACTCAGAAACCGCGACATGCCATCCTTGGCAAGACAAGGGGCGAGTCCGAGCAGGGGCGCATCAACTGCCCGGCGCCCCTCCACGACGCGAGTTCGGGGAAGGGGCCGTCGTCGCCCCAAGGCGTGCGGTCTTGCAGCTGCGCGAAGACGGGCCCCCGAAACGTCGGGTGATCGACGACGCGACCAAAGCAACTATTAACGAAGCGACGTGTCCTCAGGAGCGGCTCCACCACGACGCCTTGGACGCGCTCTTCGAAGCAGCCCGCGTTTTCCAGGAAGCCGCGGGGAGGGCGCCCGCTCTCTGGAAGGCAAGCATCGACGCTGCCTTCCGTCGCGTGCCCACTCGCGCAGAGCATAGGGTTCGCTTGGGTCGCGTTCAGCGCCGCGGGGAAGGTCTGGGCGGCGCAGCGCGCGGCTGCCCCCTTCGGCGCCGCGTCATCGGTGCACAGCTGGGCGCGAGTGGGCGCGCAGATCGCGGAAGCGGCGCGCCTGCTCCCGCGGGCCGCCACGCCGCGATGCGCGAATGAGTAATTCGGGCCCGATCGCCCCGAACTGGCGGAACAGGCGGCAGCCCAGCTGGCGGAGCTCAGTCAGCTGATGCTTGGCCTGGGCGCCGCGGCGCCGGACAAGATCGCCCGGGGTTCCCCGCTGCCCATCCTCGGCCGTGCTCGCGACGGGGCGCCCGGGGCGCGACGAGCCGGCCGGTCGGCGTCGCGCTTCGCCAGGCGCGGCCCCGGGCGTTCTGCGCGCGCCGCGCCCCCGCCAATATCGCCATTAAGTGGCAGCGCGTCATCGGCGAGGCGCTCGCGACCTCGCGCCGGGCGGATCGCGCGCCCCCGGATCTTCCGCGCCTTGCCCTCGCTGCGCAAGCGATTCGTCAAGCTGGCCAAGGGCTTCGCCGAGGCAGCGTCGCGCCTTTTCCGCCGCCCGGGGCGCGCCCTGCCCAGGCGCGGCGCCGCGCCCGCGTGTCCTGGAGGGATCGGGGCGCCGCGCCCAGCGCGCGCGGGCCGCTGCGCGCGCAATCGCAACACAGGGCAGCGAGGGCGCATGTGCTGCTAGTGCTTGCCCTAGAGTGGTGGCGCGAAGTCTTGGCCGTGGACCCGTGCCAGGCGCGGTCTTGGGTCGACAAGGCGCGGCCTCCCGCGACCCTGTTCGCAGACGCGTCCGGCCAGCCACCTTGCGCGGCTGCGGGGCTTGTCACTGCCTCGGGCATCAATTTCACATCCACGCGCGCGACGGCGCCCCTGGTGGCGGCATTCGAGCGCCGCCGGAACAATCGAATTCAGGGGCGTCCATTGCGCTGGGCACGCGCACCTCTGCAGGCGCTGAATTCGCGCGCGTCTGCCCGCCCCAGTCGCCGCGCGCCCAGGGGAATTGCAAGTCTGCGATTTGCGCGCCACGGCGACAACGCTGGCGCGGAGGCCTGCCTCCGCAAGGGCGCTGCCAAAGCCTTCGACCACTCTTGCATCGTTCGCTCCACGTTGAAACGCGCCGTCGAGCTCGACGTCGATCTCGCTGTGATTCGCGCGCCCACGGTTGAAAATCTCGCCGGCCCGCCTTCGCGGCGGGCCCGCGAGAGCCCGCGCCGCGCTGCCGGCAGGCCGCCAACGCAGCGGCGCGCAGGGGAGACGACGAGCTCTTGTCACGCATCGGCGCGGCGCGCACGCGCCAGTGGCTCGACGAAGCTTCCAGGCGCGCGGGCGCCTGCAGCGCTCTGTCCCTGGCGCGCCTCTTCGGCTGAATTGAGCGCCATGTTGCGCCCGGGTGTCATCGCGAGTGGCGGGGCGTCGCGGCCCCGTTCTCGCGCCGCGGCAAGGCGCTCGATGTGCCGCCCACCGCGCATGTCACGTCGGGCCCCCGCGTCATTTCGCAAGCGGGGAGCGCGCAGCCAGGGCATCTGGCGCGTCGTTCGCATTGCCTGACGCGCCGCGCGGCATTATGTCACTCTTCGTTGAGCGGTGCTCTCTGCTCCAGACAGCGCCCAGGACAGCCGTTGCCTGGGCTGCTGACTTCTTGGCTGAGAATGGATTTGCGCGAGCTTGCGCACTCGCAAGCGCGGAAATCGCAGACCTCGATGGATGGCCGGCGACTGCGCGGGCTAATGTCGAGGCCCTGCGTGAAATATTCAGGGCCGCCAAGATCGCTGCGCGCCGAGGCGGGGCAGCGCGCGGTGGTTCGGGGCGCGCCGCCCCCCCCCCCCCAGCCCTTCCGCAAGTGCCCCGCAGGCGCGCCGGTTGCCGCGGGCGCGGCAGCTGGCGGGCGCGTGCCCGCCCGCCGCCTGTCGCCGGCGGCGCGCGCGGCGCCCGTCGCTCCGTTTCTACCCGAGCCACCGCGGGCACGCGCCCCTGACCCCGCGCACCGTGGTTCGCGAGGCGCACGCTCCCAGCGCCCTCGACCGCCTGGCTCCGCCGAACGCGCTGCCCGCGACGCGCGGGCCCCAGGCGGCGGTCGCCGAGGCCGCCGCGCGCCTCCGCGATCCCGCAGACGCGGCCCTCTGGCGAGGGGTCGATCGCGCTCGCGCCATGCTGCAGCCGTGCGCGCGGTCGCTCCCGAGCGGCGCACTGCGTCCGGGTGCTGCAATGCCCGTGCACGCAGCTTCCGCCAGCCAGCGCGGACCTGGTCGCCCAGGGCGCCCTCTTTCGCTGAAAGGGGGACGCATGCGAATTATTGCGGCCGCGTCAGAGTCGGGTGTCTCCTGGCAGGGGTCGCCGTCGCAGCATTCGCCAGCCCCGAGGTCAGGCGCGCGCGCGCGCCGCCGCCCAGGCGCGGGGCGACTGGACTCCGCGCCCGCGGATATTCAACAAAAAGAATTTTAGTCGCGGCACTGGTCGGCTTGGGCGCGCGCCGCCCCGAGTGGCTCCGCGCCTCGACGCGATTCCTCCTCGCCTGCGCGTTCCTGCTGAGAATGCCCAGCGAGGCGCTGCCAGCCGCGCGCGCGGCCGACGTCTGCGACGCGCCGTCCTTTCAAGCGGCGCCCGTGCCAGACACAGCAAAACTCGCGCTGCTGCTGCGACGACGGAAACACCAAGCGCAGGGCAGTCGCTCGTCGTGGAAGTGCCGGCGCGCATCGTACCGCGCCGCGTGCCCCGTGCACATCTTGGGCCCCTGGCTGGCGCAGTGCGAGCTGGATCGCGCGCTTTCTGAAGGCGTCTCGGCGGCGGGCGCGCTGCGGGCCCCTCGCGAGATGCTCGCAGCCCTCGGCGCGCAAGAGGCCGGTCTGGTTGCGTGACCTCCGCAGCGGTCGCGCCAAGGACCTCCAGAGCCTGGGCGCGACGCTCGCCGAACTTCTCGCGGCTGGCGAGCGGCGGCCCTGCGCCTTCATGGCGCATCTAGACGGCGACGAACTAGAAAGGGGCGCGGTCGTGGAGGCGGGGCCGCATGTCCTTCGCCCGCGCCGCGGCGCTCCGCGCGCGCCAGCTCGATTCTTATTCTGACGCGGGCGCGCGTTAGGCGCTGGCGGCCAACGCCGCCACGGTTCGCCCCTAAACGCGGGCGCGCGCGCGCGCGACGGCGCCCGTGCCCCAGCCCCGCGCGATCGTCAGCGGGCGCGCGCGCGTTGCTGTCCCGCGTCGCCTGCGCGCCGCGCGGCAGTGGGTTCCACGCGCTGGCGCGGCGCGAGGCTGCCCGAGCGGCGGCGCGTCGGGCATGGGCCCGTCGCAGCCGCCCAGGCAGGGCCAGCCTAGCCCCGCGCTGCACCCACCGACGGCGGCCGCAGGCGGAGTCGAGGCCTTGCGCGCGCGGCACAGCGGTGCCGCGCGCTCCTAGACGCGGAGGCGCACCGTTGTGGGCGGGCACAAATCGGCCATGATTGCGCGAATGTCGCGCGCGCGTCAGGGCGGCGCGACCGCGGCATCGTTGCGCAGGCGCGGGTCATCGCGCCGTCGCGCGCCAGGGGTGGGCCGCCGCGGGGGGGGTCGGCGCCGCCCTGCGGCGCGTGCTTTTCGCGGGCGTGCTATTGCCCAGGCGCGGGGCGCCGCGGAATGGGGCGGCGCGGCCCACCGCGGCGCGCGCGCTTCGCAGGCGATTGCCATATTGAAGGAGGCGCCGCGCGCGCTGACGCCGCGCGCGCGGCGGGCGCCACCCTGGCGCGCCTTCTGTCTTCCGCCCCCCGCCCGGTCTGCTGCGCGCAGGCGTGGCGCGAGGCTGCCCGAGCGGCGGCGCGTCGGGCCTGGGCCCGTCGCAGCCGCCCAGGCAGGGCCAGCCCCGCCCCGCGCTGCACCCACCGACGGCGGCAGCAGGCGGGGTCGAGGCCTTGCGCGCGCGGCTCGGTTTTCCTGTGGACGATGCCACAGGTTTCCACCGATCCTCGGAAGGTCGTTGTAGCTCATGTTGGGGATGATTCACCTCTGACCGGCATGCAGAACACACTCATCCAATTTTTTCGTCGTTCGAAGGGTCACCCGAACTTTTGGCAAACAACGCGGCGCCCTTTGCGCGAAGGCCGCTTTGCACAGATACGCGCAGTTGAAACTCGTCACGAACCCGCGGCGCCGCCGTTTGCCCCGAACGAAAAACAAACGCGCAAAAGCTGGCAACGGGACATTTGCACTGGCGGTGGCGTCGCGAACAAACAACTCCACGCGTGCTACCCCATTCCATCCAATACTTTAGCACGCGTGCGGCAGCGCGGAAAGCCCGCGAACGCTTGGCCGCCGACGCAAGGGCACGGCACTAGCAAGGCGCGCGCGCGTGCAAAAGAGCGCGGCTGAACGAATCGCTCCGCAAACGAGGGGGGGAGCACGAGCAATATTGGTGTAACGGCGAAATTCAAACGATCTTGGGCGTCGTCGAAGAAACGCTTTCGACGCAGCGTCGCACTTGGCCCCGCTACCACTGACGGGGCGCACCCCGCAAACACACAGCAAGAAGACCTCCTCGAAAGCCTCGGGCGCCCTGCGGCCCAGGCGCTTGGCAAAAGCCTTCTGGTTGCGTTTCATCACGGCCTGCCCGCCGTCCTCGGCAGGTAACTGGTCCTGAGTGAGTTCGTAATATAATGCTGTTGAGGTCGCCTTTGGCATGGCGCTAGATGAGGCATCCACGTCGTGCTCTCAAAGTCCTGGTAGTAGCGAACCACATCTGCGACTCCTTCATGTAGCGGTCTATGCGAATATTCGGATCTGTTCCATCCCAAGAGGGAGGTCGGTCGTTTGGTATCTTTGGGGCCCACGATTGTTCAGGAAATTCCCCCCCGTTGGCGATTGGAAGATCGGGAAGTGGTATCGCCCCAATAGGTATGAGGAGAAAATAAACAGTCATAGCCGATCCTTGGAGAGGCGGTTTCAGCCAATCCGGTGCGGCCAGCGAACCACGTCCCCGCCCGTTCAACCGGATGAGGATTGTTGCGTATTGGGCTGTGTCTCCGTCCATGGCTGTGATAACCAGCGCGCCCAATCCTGATCTGACAAGCCCACGCCGCCACCACCTTCCCAAAGAACGTGTTGTCGCCCTCCGGCTCTTGCACAAAAATCCTGATATGCTGGAAATTCGTCTTCTTGAAATTGAGCGTCGCCTGGGAAACCCACGGCGGCGCTCGGTGCAATTGGGTACAGAGCGAGAAGAACGGGACACATCACCCGAGAATCGAACGACAGGGGGGTCGTCCTGACTCCCCTCGTGGATCTCAACCACAAGCTCCGCTGCCACTGTGGATTGTACGGGTGTGGCTGTATGGATACAGAACGACACGACGTACACATGGGGGGACCCGTGCTGGAAAAGAGAGCACGTTCTGTTTCCTTTTACAAAAGCGTGGGCGCGTCCGCCACCGGCGCGCCATGATAGCTCAAGGGCCCTTGTGAACCGATATGGCGGCGCACAAGGGAGTACAGAGAGAGGCGCAGAGGAGGAGAGGCTGACAAGGGTTCTGCAAGCACGTGTTCGCACACGGAAGTGCCAGGAATTGAGACACACATGTATGGGAGCCTCGGCGTCGAATAGCTCTTTGCCCCAGCTTCGTATCTAGATTCCCGAAACAAAGCTTGCACGCAGGTGATATTTGATTTCTATAAAATTAGGCTTGCGCGGCGGCGTGACGGCCATGCCGCCGCCGTCGCACTTTCGTCGCCGCCTCGTCGTCGCCCGTCGCCTGGGCCTGCTAGCCGCTCTGGCCACAATGTCGCCGCCGTCGCCGCCGCCGCCGCCGTCGCAACCGCCTCGTCGCCGCCCGTCGCCACGTCGCCGCCCGCTTTGAATTGCCTCGCGTTGTTTCGCATTGTGTTGCGTTATTTCGCGTGGTTAGGAATTCCTTAGCATTGTTTTCCATTGCCTTGCGCCGCTTTGCGTTACTTTGCATTGTTGTGCCTTACTGCGCATTGGATTACATTGGTTTGCGTTGTTTCGCGCTGGTGCGCCTGAATTCGCATTGCTTTGCATGCGCCGCATAGCATACACCACACACATTGCACCACATCGGTGTCACCACACATATTCTCCGTTCTACAACAATAAAAGGACGTCCCCCCCATTCCACCCCCCGGACTTATCGATTCCTCTTCGCGTAGTGCAATTTCTATACGATTTTGCCCCATCGTACATCCGACGTATGAACTCGTATCGTGCCAGCTAAAACGATATGCCCCCCTTTTTTCATCCCTTGCAAAAAAATATGCGCGCACTCGCTAATCAAAACTCACGAACGCGCAAGACCCCCTTGCAAACGAAGGGACGAAAAACACACGCGCACGTCGTCGCGCGCGCACGCTGGAAACCGTCAAAATCCCTAAGTTCCGTAAGGGGTTCAAAATGGACCACCCCGGAATCACATTAAAAAACACATGGCGTCCCAACAATGATTTCCAATAAAAAACTTCGCGCGCGCGCCCCTGCAGATTCTCAAGGGAACCATGTGTGTTGTTTTAACATGTTCATCACATGCTACCAAGCGTGCCCCAAACGTGCCTGCGCGCGCATGCCGAAACCGCTCGAACGCAATTTCGCGCGTGCTGTCCCAAGAACCCGCTGCAGAAAATGGGACGGGGTGCGCACGCGCGCGTCGTCGCGCGCGCATGCGCCAAATCTTTCAGAAACCTCTGGCCCCGTACGGAATTCAAAACCGAGTGCCCCGAAAAACCTGCAACAACAACTTTCTGCAACAACAAGTTTCAAACATATCTGCGTGTGCGCTCCTGCGAATCCGCAAGAAAACAATACGCTGTTCATGTTTCCTGAATTCTGCCATACGGGCCTATCGCGCCGCATGTCGAATTCATTCGAACGCATTTGCGCGCGCGTTGGAGGGGCACGGTCCGTGTCAAATAACACCATGCGGGCCACTTTCGCGCGTCGGCCGCGCGCGCATGTCGAACTCCTTCCGGGACCTTCATCGCCGAAGCGGGGGCGCTGTCATCGTCGTTGGCGTGGTCAGCATCGGCGCCGTCACTGGCCTTGCCGTCGTCGTTGTCATCATCGTCATCATCGTCACCAGCATCGTTACGATGATCCTCGTGTCTACCGTTGTCGACGTTGCCATGATACCGCGCCCGCACAACTCGCCGACTCGCACTGGCGTGCCGCTGAGAAGTGCCCAACGGTCAGCGCCATCGCAGCCGCGTCGGCCGCACCAAACTAGCTGGGCGCTGCGCGCGCGAGCATGCGCGGGCTAGCGCGGTTCATCGCAATCGCCGCCGCATGAACTTTGCAAACCAAGTTGCGGGAAGGCGGGCGGGATGATTGCGCGAACAATGGGGTTGACAACTCACTGCGAACAGAAATGAACTGCACCACACAGATTGCACCACATAGCTTACACCACATGAGATGCACCACATAACTCACACCTTGTGTATTGCCCCACATGGATTGCACCTCGTATAATGCAACACATGGCATGCTAGAGCACACCATGTTGGGGCCCATGCTGGTTAACATGTTAATATGTGCATATATAGTCGCACAACTGTATATGCATAGTTTTGTATGTGAGTAGATATAGGTATATATATATATGTATATGCTGTTGTGTCCATGTATAGGCGATAAGCAGAAGAGGAGGCGGACGAAGAGGAGGGCTATTCTCAACCCCAGCGATCTAACTAACATGAGGGAAGTGTTCTCCATGCGCTGCTCATCTCACGGCCACGACCAATGGGGTATGCCGGCCTGAGGTGTGAGTCACCAGCCTCGTCCTTACACGTTCGTGCATTCGCCCGTCAAACTCGCCCGTCCAGCACAGCATGCGCCGGCGCTCAAGGCTTGCGCCTGGGATGGACTTCGCGGCCCCTGCGCCTCGCTGCCCGACCTAGCGCTTCTGCGAGCCCGCTCTCGTATACCTTCGACCTCCCCACCTCCTGGTCAAGCATGGCCTTAGCACTAGGTGCTGGCAAGACATATCCCCATGCCCCTCGAAGACGACATCTCGCCACGAGCTCGCTCCTCCCCGCCTGCTCGACTCCACGGGCACCACGCTTCACAGGCCATCCACCACGTCCTTCGCGCTGCTCGACGTCAGCAATGAATCATCCCTTGCAGCCGCATGCAGCAGCAGGAGGTATCCGTTTCCACAGAGCAAGGGGCCCCTCAGACGAGGCACATAGGGTTGAGGCTTCGCCATCACTTGTTCTAGGTGGACGTCCACACGCAATCGCCCATCGGCCCAGCGGCGCTGAGAGGCATGGCTGCTTTTCAGGCTGCAAACCCCAAATCAAAACGCGAAGCCTGGCTCATTGGCTCGGCTGCCTTGAGAGAAACGGCCGGTGAAGAGGAGGACAATTGGGTCTCACTCGTGCCTTCTCTCTGGGCTCCTCCTCCTGCTGAATCTCATCAGGGTCCCTGTCCGCATCTCTCTCTCAAGCTGCACCTCCTCTTGACCCCCTCGTCTGGTTCGTCTTCAACTCGCCCCCTCCGAGGCTTTGTCTCGGCGCTTGTACTCTTCCATCTCGGTGAAGATTTCCAAGGCCTCTCAACCCGGCAGAAGCTGGCACAGAGGAGCGGAGCGGAGCGAGCACAAGGTTGGGAACGCAATGGGGCTCGAATGGGCAAGTGCAGAAACGTAAGCACCAATATTAAAGGGCGCCTGGCAAAATGTTGCGAGGACCCCGGACCCGGGCAGCGTGTGACTGTATAAGGACGCGGAGCACTGGAAAGGGGGGGGGGTAGAGAGATGGAACGGGGGATTCGGAGCATGGGATACAGTATGGGCCAGGCACTCCAACATGTGGGAAGAGGGAAGACAGCGAAGATCAATCTTGCCGACAGAACGCCGCGTCAATGATAATCATTCGTTAGGAGCGCCAACGTCAACCCCTTGACCACTTTTCGGTCAGCGGACGCGGGTACGGTCCGAGTTGGTGAGGTGTATGGGGAGTGCGCGCACGCGAATTGAGACCAATGCAGGAGCGAGGAGGCGAAGGGGCAAGAGGGAACAACTGCAGAGACAGAATAACAACAGAGCCCATGAGTCATGAGTGCGGCCTGTGCGTCCCAAAGGAAGGCCGCGGCCCCAATACAGGAACGCATGCCGCTCAGCAGGCGAGGTATCAATCGGATGACACTCGTGGTGACGGGCTAAAAACGCCTGCGTCGTCCGCGCAAGGCTGGGCGAGAAGACAGGATAATCAACATCTTGAGAACGTGATGTAATCTAAGATGGCGCCTTCAGACATTTGGTTTCCCTGCATGCGGATTTTCGAAGGCATCGTTGGAACCCATTCGCTGTTCGCGGACCCAAGTTGAGGGTCCCTGTGGAGGTGAATCAGTAGCACTTGTTGGGATGGCGTTTCATAGTTTGGACATATGATGAGCTGTACTGCAATCAGTTTCGGCTTTCAGGGCAAGCGTAAAGATGCCAGAACCCTTGGGAGGAGGGTGATGAAAAGCAGGAATTCTCAGAGCTGCCTGACAAAAACCTATCATCCCTGTGGCTGCATTCGACTGTAAGGTAGACGCAACGCTGGAGACGGCTCCAGACCTGCTCCCACTTACGGCTCCGCTGGTCTACGAGGCACATGAGAACGTCATTGTACTGTTGCACCGGTATGGTGACGCCCTGTGGAGGGAAAATCCGCCTGCCACTGCTGCTTCTCCTCCTCATATGGCGTCACTGTTGCGCACTTGTGGTGGTAATAGGGTAGAGCGATCGAGCGCGATTGAGAAATTCAAGAAAGCGGAACCCACGGCAGAGGACGGGGAGTGTAGAATCAGAATGGATGGACCGAGGTTGGCTTAGACCCGAGGCATTACTGCAGCGGGGCATGAGGCGATGGCATCAACAGCTCCACGATGCGCCGGCACAAACGGGGGTGATGAGAAGCAGGAGGGATCGCAACGCACGTGCGGAAATAGGAGAGAGTAAAAATAGGAGAGGGCAGAGAGTAGAGGGAAGAGGGTGATGTTGAGGAGGAGAAGGGGGAGGAGGAGGAGGAGGAGAAGGAGAAGGAGGAGGAGGAGGAGGAGGAAGGCGCATGAAGAGGCAGGATTAACATGACACGAAGGAGGAAAGACGGGCTATAGGGACACGCGCACGACGAGGACGAGGAACATTAGGGGAAGCCTTAGCACACCTAATGCGACGGCTGCATAGCAATTACTCACGGGCAGCAGCATTGATCGGGCACGCGAATCCCCATTCATCTTTCCCCCGCTTCTTCCGCCGCTCCTACTCGACATCCTCGACCCTCCTTGCCTCCGCCGCCTCATCCGATTCATCCCCCTCCCCGTTCTGTCGCGGACTCTTGCCCGACCTGCGGGTTATCTTGCCCAGGCGGGAGCCAACAGAGGCGGTGCACTGGATCAACCGTCCCAGCTAGGGGAGGCTCAGTGGTGCGTTGCTCCTCGACGGGAGCGCGTCGGACATGAGCCTCGTCGGGCTGGAGAGGGCGGGCTGGACGGTCGTGCAAGTGGACCGCTTCGGAGCCTCTTGGCCGCTGCCTTCGGCGTCGTGCCGCTGGCCATGGCGCCTGGCCAGACGGCGCCATTCGCAGAAGACTACGCTGCCTTCAGGCTCCAGCATGTGGCCATGGGCCTCATCGACTTGCACATCGATTGCGCCAACACGCTGAGGACGCTCGCGGCGGGGCCTGGGGTGGGCACGGCCCCTTCTGGGGTGCGTTCACGGCGGACGATTTCGAGGCATACAAGACGCTTGCGCACTCCACGTCGGCCGATGTGGAGGCGGGCCGCGCGACCCACTGGGAACGACGCGCCAAAAGCCACGCGGACGAGCTGGCCAAGCGAGGCACCTGACTCCACCTCTTCGGCACCGAGGACGAAGAGCTCTGGAAGGGCCTGGAGGCGCTGGCTGAGGAAGCGGCTCGCTAGAACGCAACGCTGGAAGCGTCGCTCACCGACCAAGGCCGTTTGAACCATGGAGATGTGCTGCGTAGCAAGCAGGAGGGGACCCCGGGACCCCTGGCCCGAGCGCAGAGGTGGAGGGCGCCACGGCCGAGGCAGATCGACTTCGACGCGGCGCCGGGCGGGGAGCCCCCGCCTGCCGAGGAGGAGCCCCGGAGCGCCCACCTGGACACGGCGGGGCCGCAGCTTTCGACTACAGCTAAGGCGAGCTGCAAGAGCGGGCAGCGCGCATCAACAGACCCGCCTTGCTCCGCTGCGGCGTGGTGCAGCGGCCGGGAGGGAGCGTTGTCTTCTGTCTGGGCTGCAAGGGGGTCTGGACAGGCAGGACGCCGGGCAAGCTCCTAAAGGCGCGCTGCGAGGGGCTCAGAATCCATGCTGGCCGCGAGCAGCTGGGCCTCATCAGCCAAGGCAGGTGGCCGCACTACCAGCCTGGAAAGCAGCATGAGACGCTGGATGGGGCCGAAGGCATTTAGCGCTGAGGAGACGGGACTGCTGGAAAGCGCCCTCCGCGGCATGCCCATGGCGCGCGCCGCGACCGAACCGCTTCTAGGGGTCGCTGTGCGGCGGCATTTCCTCGCGGTTTTCGGCCTACACACGGCAGACGTCGAAGGCGTGCGGGTGCGGGGCAGACGAGGAGCCTTGCCGCTCCGAAGACGAGGAGATCGGGTCCGAGGAGGAGGTGGGATCCCACCAGCCCTCTGGGCGTAGGTGGTCTGGGATGTTTCCTCTTCCGCCCCCTTATTCCCCTTCAAGGAAGGGCTGATCCTTACTTCTTATTATTAAACACCCCCAAATCCCCACCGAACAGGCCGATAGCAACCCCGCCGTCCTGACTGTAAAAAATAATTCGAACTCAACTTCTTTCTCGCCAACATGTCGCCGAAATGCGAAACCTGTACCAGGAATGGGACGGAGTGAACATCGCTTAGGGACCCTAAGTGGGTGGTCGCGTCCTACCTATCAAAAATACAAAGTCAACGTGCTTTCTCAACAACATGGACTTTCTTGTCGTCGACGCTGCGAAAAATGTAATAGGAATGGGACGCGGCTCCGCATAACTGTTGCATGTGCCCCGAAGCTACGGTCGGCAACTTTTGCTTAGCGTGTCGCCGGGGCGGCCGCGGCAACACGCTCTGCCTTACAAACGGATCGCGTGTCGATCCGCTCCGCTAAGCGGGAGGCTCGGAAAGGCTCGGGGCGTTCACGCTTGGGGACTCGGCCGTGGATGACTTGTCGGCCCGAAGCGGGGTGGGCCAGAACCCACACCAGTAACGGTGGGCTTGAAACTCCATTGAGTATGTGAACGCAGAGCAGCGATGTGAACAGAGGGCGCGCAGCGCCCAGGCCTGTATGTAAGCAGGCGGCCGGCGGGCCAGTTTCTGGCCCCTGGCACTTCGCCGCAGACGCACCACACGTTCAAGATGTGGGGATAAAGAGCGTACATAAATTCACTGAGAAAACGTCAACAGTGCAGGGGGGATACATACATCTCTCTCTCTCTCTCGTTCTCTCATGTGTGTTATGTGTGTGTTTCTCTCTCTCTCTCTCTCTGTACTGATTTTGCTATATACACATGCGTGTGCACACACACACAGATAAATAAAGGGGGCCCAAGAAGAAGAACCTTCACCTCAAGCAAATGCGGGTACTGTCGGAAATCCGCGAACCGGCATCTAGCTGCCAGCACCTCAGAGATACTACCTTTTGAAGCCGCGGGTGTGCACAGGAAGAGGCCTTGGCCCCGTCGTAGCATTCGCCCGTCGCCCCTCCCCCTTGCACCCACTCCCTTGAGTAGCAGCCCCTGAATGAGGCATGGAACTATGAAAGAGACTCGGTCCTGCTCACAGAACGCCCACGATCACTAAGACGTCCCTTCACCTCCTCCTCCTACTCCTCCGCAGTCCTGCAAGCCCTCCCCCATCCCCTGCTTTCTCATCCTCGTCCTCGTCCTCGTCCTCGTCCTCCTCTTCCTCCTCCTCCTCCTTCTCCTCCTCATCATCATCCTCCTCATCCTCTTCCTCTCTCTTCCCCTTCCCCTCCCGCTACCCCTCTTTCCTCCCCCTCCCTTCCTCCCCCAATCTCAGGGGGGGGGGGGGGGGGGGGCGATCCCTGTTCTTAATGTCGTGAAACATGTGGAGGGTTGCCTGCCACTGGCGGGCCTCGCGCCAACACCCTCGTCTCAATCACTGTCTCTCTTTCTCTCTTGCCAGCGCTCGCGCCACGTTGTATAAGCAATGGGGAGCCACACAAGACAGAGAGGAGAGGGCTGCCAGTAGTGCGAGAACCCAAGCAACACTGCTTTCATTGGGCTGTCCGCGGCGGCCCCTGCGGTCCGAGGACAAGGGCACAGGCAAAACAAAGAAAGACAGAGGGGGGGGGGAAAGGTAGAGAGGGCAACGCCACCTCCCACGGAAAGACAGCAGGGGCGAACCAAGGTTTCGCCTGCTCGTGGAGAGTTGAAGCCTCCCGTACCCAAGGGAGGCCCGCTCTGTTTCTCCTCGGAGCTCGGGACTGCGGACGGTTCTCCTGATGGAAGGTGGCGCCCTCGACCCCTCCCGCCAGTGCGCCAGAGGGAGGGGAATGAAAAACCAAGATGTGACAAACGAGGCTGGCGATCAACAGGATGACGGATACGTGCCGATCCTCGACGCGACTCCCTCCTCCCTCCTCCTCCTCCTCCTCCTCCGCCTCCTCCTCCTCCTCCTCCTCCTCCTCCTCCCCATCCTGTTCCAGCGAGAGGCAGGGCAAGAGAGGCCCACAGTGGGGCCAGGACCTCCCGGGTGACTTCGTGGCAGCGGCCGGGGCGCCCTGGCAGGCTCCAGGGCAGGCTGAGCCCGGTCGCGTGGCAGCGCGCGGGCGTTCCGAGTGCCTGGCAGTGCCCCCTGCACCGGACGCTGCTGGGAGGCCTCGGGGAGGCCTTCGGAGCTGGATCTCCCAAGAAGCCGAGGGGGAATTCCTGGGAGGCTCCAGGGCAGGCTGGGCCTGGTCGCGTGGCAGCGCGCGGGCGTTCCGAGTGCGCACCGCAGGTCTTCAGGCAGCACCCCTGCACCGGACGCTGCTGGGAGGCCTCGGGGAGGCCTTCGGAACTGGGGATCTCCCGAGAAGCCGAGGGGGAATTCCTGGGAGGCTGCGGGAAGCCTTCAGGAGGCCTCGGGGAGTTCCCAGGAGATTCCTCGGGAGCTTTCTGGGAGGCCTGGGGGCCCAAGGGGCCTGGGCGCCTGTAAAGCACGTGGGAGACCTGGGAATGAATCTTGCGGCGCCTACGTGAAACGCAGGCAATTGAAGGCTCCTGGATGTCATCCGAGAACCTGCGAAGCCCAGAAGGGTACCCGTGGAGACCCTGTGGAGGATGGCCCCCATGGCGGCATTCTCTATACCAGAGGGGGCAGGCAATGCCACACCGTGAGGCGTCCTGGGTAATCTGCCCACGCCATGCTCCTTTTCCTCCAGCTCCTCTTCTGTCCAAAGTCTTCCTCCCACCTCCTTCTGCTTCCTTCGCTCCCTCGTCTGCCCAACTCCTCCTCCCGCCTCCTCCTACCTCCTTCGCCTCGGGGGCGATACCACAACCGCCTGAAAACCGCCGAACAGGAGAGGCTGAGCTCAATGGTGAGAACCCCTCAAACCCAAGCACTGGGCAAAATATCAACAACAAACCTGGGGCAATCATCGAGAATCTCAGTCAGCGCTTCCGATCACGCCAGCACCCGCGTAACGAAACCCATGCTCGCTTGAGAGGAGCAGCTGGGTTCGACGCCACAGTGTGATTGGAACCGCACAAACTTGTTATCGGAACTCGATGGTGAGCAATTGGAAGCAGAGACGAAGCACACCAGAGAAACCTAAAACTAACTCTGACTTAGCAAAGACATCTCCGGGCACCACGCAAAACAAGCACGTTGACACGGAGACAGGCAAGCATATCGGACCCAGCTGATCTACTGTGGCCTTCAAGCCTTTAATCCCTGACAAGTATGATGCCATGGTGACGCTGCCATGATTAAGCAACCAACCGATGTGTAGCTTTTCGATGAATGGGCACGCTGGGTACCATCTGGGGGCAGAGTGCCAATGACACGGTGAAAGTTGTACTGTACGAGTTCGGTGGAATGCACAGCGAGTGTGGGTGTGCTTCTCGAATTCTGAGACGTTTTCACTACTCTACTTCTACCGCACTGGGGCAAGACACGCCATGTCCTCCTGCCACTCCACATTCCCCGAGAACTACCATCCTCCTCCTGGTAGTCGTCTTCCTATCCCTCCTCGTGGTCCATTTCCTTCCCGCCACCTCCCTACTCTTTCCTCCTCGTCGCACGCCCATCTGATCCTCTTCGGAACTCCCCCTCGAGGACGAGCGGGAGGGCAACGAGGAGGTCGAGGAGCAGAAGCTCACTTCTCCTCCTGAATATGAACTGTGCTTCGGCTACACGGAGAAGGAGGAAGAGGAGGAGAGGGAGGATGAGGAGGAGGGGGGAGGGGTGGAAAACGAGCGTGGAATGTGTGTATACGTATATGGATGCATCTGGAGAGACAGAGAGAGAAAGAAAGAAATAAAGAGAAGGAAACTGCGTGCGAGAGAGAAACGGAATCTGGACAGACCGACCGACAAACGCACACATACATACACATGCACACAACGATGTATCTACATATATATATATATGTATATATATATATGTACACATATATAAAACATGTATATATATGTGCATATGTGCATATGAATACATCTATATATATGTATATATATATATGCACGCATACAACTAGATAAGCCAGCATTGACTCCAAAAATATAGGAAGGACAGGAGGGCGAGAGGAGGATGGGAAGAGGACGAAAGGAGGACGGGATCAGGACGGGAGGAGGACGGGAGGAGCAAAATCAAGCAAGTGCAAGCAAGCAATCGGAAGCAAGCAAGCGCAGGCGAGCATAGGCATAGGCACAGGCATAGGAGTTAGGGGAGACATTGGCATAGGCATAGGCATAGTCATAGACATAGGAATGAGCGATGGGGGCATAGGATGTAGGGGGGAATGGACCAATCAGTAGGGTTTGAGTTAGAACTCCTATCGGGCAAGCTTATTTGAAGAAGAAATCAAGAGTTATGTGTGCATATATATATATATATATATATATATATATAGCCCGCCCCACCGCCACGAGTGCCAGAGCTGAGACCGAGAGGACGAGCGCAGCATGTAGAGAGGGCGGCGCTTGTTCTCATATCGGTATGTGTACACAACTGGAGCCAGGCGAAGCAGCTGCCACTGCTGTCGAAAGCAGCCGGGATGCAAGCAGTGCGACGGAGCACAGAGGGGTCAGACAGATGAGGTCCCCGCAAGAAAGGCACGGGGTATACATATATATACACATACAAACATACATACATATTGTCCAACAACGGGCTGCAAGTAACTTCAGGGCGGCACGTGGGCGGGTGCACTTGAACCCGAGGCCAGCGGTGCATGGCCTGACAAGTGCGGCACTCTCTGCTACAGGGCTCTGCTGCACGTTTCAAAACTGGACAGCCCGCCCCACCGCCACGAGTGCCAGAGCTGAGACCGAGAGGACGAGCGCAGCATGTAGAGAGGGCGGCGCTTGTTCTCATACCGGTATGTGTACACAACCGGAGCCAGGCGAAGCAGCTGCCGCTGCTGTCGAAAGCCGCCGGGATGCAAGCAGTGCGACGGAGCACAGAGGGGTCAGACAGATGAGGTCCCATACCCCATAAGGCAGATATGGCCGAGACAGCAAATTTGACGCGGCCGAAAAGAGAAAACAGGCACGAAGACGTCCTGGATATCATTAGCACGAGCATTTGCATATGAGACTGGCGAGGGCTTGCCTGGGACCACTAATCACCGCGTGCTTGATGACTTTGGCAAGGGCATTGGCGAGGGCGGCAGGATGCTCGGCCGCGAGCGCGGTGTACTTACAACCCGCGGGGCTTTGACCCGAAAGAATGGTTTGCTTGTTACCAGTGCGCGAACAGAGGCCGCGACGGCCACGACACTGGCGCGCGATGGGCTCGAGGGCACCTGTGTTCCAAGAGGCTACTCTGGTACGTTTCTGCCAAGGAGCGCCGAACTGACACTGGTCTAAGTCACACGTTCGAGCTGGAGGAGCCCGCAGGAGGAGGGAGATAGCCCTGCCATGCCGCAGCAAAGGGCTTGCTGGATTCTCCAGCCGAACGGGTATACGCAGACTATTGCAAAAGCGAATGACACGGCTCGTAAACTAAAAGGTGGCGTTGCCTGCCCGCAGTCGGGCGGACTCATAAGCACTCAGGCCGTCAATGCCCATCGGCTGGTCGCGCGACCTCAAGGGCCTCCTGAGGGCCCGCGACCAGGTTTTACACGGCGTCCCCATGAACACGGCGCCGACGGCGCGGCTGCGCAGCCACCCAGCCACCACCGCCTCGAACGCGGGGTGCAAGTGGTCTTCCAGCGGCGAGCGGGCGATGTCGAGGCCGAGCGCCGAGAGGCCCTGGCGTCGCACGGCCGCCGTGAGGTGGCCCGACCCGCAGAACAGCTCGAGCACGACGCGCCGCCTGCAGAGCGACCCTCGCTGCACCGCCTCACGAGGTGTAGCCGTACCGCATCACCACGCCCGCGAGCCGCCGGCTCGCCAGCAGCGGCGGTGCCGGGCTCCACGCCCGAGCCGCGGGCCGCTGGCGCACCCTCCTGCTTCCTGTCCCTGGGCCTGCCTGCAGCGCCTCTGCGAGCCGCGGTGGCACCAGGTGCATGTTGTTCGTCCAGGCGAAGCCCTTCTCGAGCAGCGCGCAGAAGTGCTGCACCACGAGGATGTCGTACAAGAAGACGTCGTCCGCGACTCTGGAGCTGCCGAAGGAGGGTTGTCTCCTTCGCATACTGCCGCATCGAGGACATGACCACCCAGCGACCGCGGCGAAACACCTGCTCCAACGATCGCCTCTGCGGCCAGAGGTCGTCGCTGACGCCGCCGAGCCGCATCCCGTACAAATGCGGGCGGAGATGGCTGATCCCCAGCGCCGCGGCGGCCAGCGCAAGCCATTGGTTCAGCTGGGCCAAGTTGAAGCTCCAGAGCGGTGTCCCCGCGCGCCCATTCAGGCGGAGCGCAAAGAGTATGGGCACGAGGTAGAAGTCCAGGTCGAAGAAAATCGACTCGTCGAAGGGCCGCGTCTTGCCTGCCTGCAACGCTCGAGATGCCCGAAGCAGGAGCGTGCCAGCTTGCCTCGGGCGCCCAGGGGAGAAGTGGGAGATCGCCGCAGTCGTCTGTGAGACGATGTTCGCTGCAATCCCCTCCAGGTATCGCGTCGTAAAGTATTCTGCCAGGATGGTATCCAGCTGAGCGAGGGAGCTCCAGTCCAGGCGGCGGCTCGAACAGTAACCCACGAAACTGTGGAGAAGGTGGCGGTAGAAGGTCTCTGTGTTCGGCTGCGCCGCCGACTGCTCCAACAGGGTCATCCCCGCGGAGCCGGCGCGGCCGCTCACGGCACGCGCGGCCAGCTGTGCCCGCTGCCTCGTCCATTCCGAGGGCGGGTGGGCTCAGCGTCGCGGCGTGCCCAGCACCGTGTCCGCCAGCGGGAGGACCAGGAGCCCCAGGAGCCGCCAACCGGGCGCGGGTGCGAGCATGGCTGAGCACCCGGTGCCCGCTGAACCACCCGAGCCTACCGCGGCTGAGGGAGTCTGACGGGTTCCTTTCTGAGGCTATCCATCGGACGCTGAGCTTGGACCCTGTTGCCAGTGACAGCGAGCACAACTGATTGAGACAAGACCTCAAGTACCTCGAACGGGCTCGTCCCTTTGCACAAGAAAGAGCCAGCGGCAGATTGTCAACTAACGCAACCATTCGTTTCCCATGGCTGGAGAGATTACGAAGCAGATGCCTGTACGACGTGACGAGCGCCTCGCCCTCCAGATACAGGATGTTGGCCCCAAGAGACACCGACTGGGCACAGACGCTCTTCCACGCAGACTCCCTCGTCATATGTGCGGGCACCTCGTCGAGTACCCAGAGGTCCACGCTGAACTTGACACTGGCCGCGGTGTTGAGCTCTGTAGGGGCCCTCGCAGAAATACCGATATCCTCCAAGCCTTCTGAAGCTGTCATGGCGGGGTCCTTGCACTGAGAGAAAGAGAAAGAAAGAGAAAGAAAGAGATGAACAGAGAAAGAGAGAGAGAGAGAGAGAGAAAACAAAAGCGAGAGAGAGAGAGAGAGAGAGAGAAATAGAGAGAGAGAGAGAGGAGAGCGAGAGAGAGAGAGAGGGGAAGGAGGGAGATGGGGAGCATGGCTTCTCCTCCCCCCTGCCTCCTCCTCCCCTTGCACCCTCTCCTCTCCTTCTCCTCCCTGGAGGTCCCAGCAGCCCGAGAGAAGGCAAACTTCGTCTGAGCAGAATGGCCCTCCGTCCTCCTCCACCTCCTGGAGCCTCCTGGAGGACGGGGAGGAAGAGAATAATGAGGACGAGGAGAGAAGAGGGCAATAACGAGGAGGGAAAGGAGGAAATAGAGGACGAGGGGAAACAGGAGGGGAAGGAGGAGACGGAGGCGAACGAGGAGATGGAGGAGAAAACGGAAGAGGAGACGGAGGGAGGAGGGCCCGAAACGGCCAGGGCGAGATGGCGAGGAAACCGCAAAACCAGAGATCCTTAGATCGAGAATCCTTGGCCCACCTCGGAGTAGTGTCTGATTGGAAGTTGCACTGTCTACTAGAATCTCTGCATCACACGAGGGCGCCAAGCCAAATCTTCGGCCTCGGCCCAAGAGGTGTGGCATCGAGCCGGCTTCTCTGCAGAAGCGCCGAGCCGAGACGGGGAGAGCCGAGCCGAGCAACATTCCCAGACGTACGAGCCGAGCAACATCGCACCCGGTGCCGGTGCCCCCGCGCGAGCACCCCCCCCCCCCCCGAGGGTCGCGCCCTCGCAGAGATGGTCAGCTTCGCCTGCCTCATGCGCGGGCTCAACCTGCCCGTCCGTTTGCCCGATGCTCGAAAATCCGACCCTCTTAAAGGAAAGGTATGCACATAGCCCGATTCTGGCCAGGCCCACCCTGAGCCCATGATCGGTGTATACTCCTTCATGCCTTGGCCAGGAAGGTATACGCACCAATTCTGAGCCCAGGATGGGCCTGGCCAAGATCGGTGCATGTGCATAGTTCGCGTCGCCCGACCTCTCCACGTCCCTTCCTGCTTCCGCCCTGATCCCTCCAGTGTAACTGTCTTCCCGCTCCACGCTCCGCGAGGCGCGATCGTTTTTGCGCGTTCGCGCCGCCCCCCCCCGCCCTTCCCCTGGAGGGACTCGCGCCTCGCTCTGAAATCGCCCAGACCGCGAAGCGCGACTAACTACGCACCCACGCGGTGGCCCTAGGATCCATCGATCCTCCTCGATCCCCCTCGATCCTCCTCGATCCTCCTCGATCCTCCTCGATCCCCCGTCCTCGAGGGTCCCTGCGAGTCCAAAACCAACGAGATCAACACCGAACAGAGTGAGGGCGGGACTTTTCTCTATGACGAGGCCTGCATGTGTAACTATCTGAGGGTGCCCCTAAGCCAACGGCTACGGAGCAGAGACTAGCAACATAATGTTTGGACTTGACCCACGGAGGAAACTCTCACAGTGGGCCCTACTTTAAACAAGTCCAAGACAACAGAGTGTATGTGAAACGAAAGAAACCGCTCATGGAGACCTTGTGTCTCTGCACCTCGTTCTTACGAAACACGGCGGCGCATTCAAGAATCTGAGGGGGGGAGAGAAGCAAAGACCGAACCGGGACCGGCGACGCACGAGCCCTCGGACTGGGAAGCAAGTTGACGAAGCGAGGCGGCATGAGAGCGCGCCTTGGTCTGGGGGTCGAGACGTCTCTCGTCCAACGACGTCTTCTCCGAGGCTATCTCCGAGGCTATCTTCAGCATGCCAGTCCTGAGGAAAGAAAAGAGAGCAGCATTACTCTTCGCGAGGTCTGCCTTGGTCATGGGGTCGACCGGCGTGACCGGGTGGGGGACCCACCTAATAGTGCTACCAATACGGGCCAAGGACTCTCGGCATATGGCGAGCTCGACCGACGTCCTTCTGTCCGTCTTGGACCCTGCTGTGATACGATCGAGCGTCGAAGATGCCCTTGGCATCGACGATGGAAACATTTCCCGACGGATCGCGACTCAGGGAACAATCCTGACGCAACAGAAACACAAACGGGCCCACGTGCACTCGCCAAGCCTCAGTCAGCAGAGAGCCGTCCACGATATCCCAATATAGCATCTGGAGCCACTCCGCTTCGGCCAAGGCCGCACTGAGAGCTACGACCTCGCCGGCCAAGGTGCTTGAGACCTGCCTTCGCGCTCGGCAAAATCTCCAAGACAGAGGGGTGGCACGAGACACCTTGCCCTGGGAAATGGCCCGATCGGTGGCATATATCTGATACGCCTGCTGGGCCTTCTCACCCGACGACGAAGCCGCGCCTCCGCAATCTGAAGCTGTCGCGAACACCAGCTGCTTGGGAGGGAACCGCCAGATCGTGATCGGGACCGAAGCCGTCGCTCGAAGGTGGTCGATGGCCTTGTTGGCCAATCCCGCATCTCCGATGGTCGGAGCGTGCACTCTGCTAGCAAAGATTGACGCCACACCACGCACTTCGGCCCTCGTATCCCGACCAACCCAGTTTATCTTATAGATCGCCGATCGGAACTCGGCCATATCGCTCGGGCTCAGACTCGCATCGTGGTTCGCTCGCTGATTCCGAGGGACGCGTATCTTGTGCAAGGATTCCAAGATAAACTCTCCTGGTCGATCAAAATGCGGCCCGGGAGCCTCCGAATACGGCGCCCGATGCACTCAGTGCCCGTCGAGCCGAGCAGCTTCATTTTCCCGAACTTAAACCTCGAGGTGTACATCGCGATCTCGTCATCGGCGATGCTCGGATCGAGGGCGACGGCCCAGTCGTCGACCTCCACTAGAACCATGGCCTGGGGCTTCTCCTGAGACCTCCGGACGTACCAGCAGGGCTCCCAGGCCCCGCCTTCCCTGAATCTGCTCAGAATTGGCTGCTGAAGCCTTCCTCTGGAACCCGTATTTCCCGTCGTCCCCCAACGCGCTTGTCTTCTTGCTTCCGGCGGGGTCCCAGGGGCCCCTGCGAGAACCCGCTAAGACCGAGGAGGGCCCCGAGGAGGAGCAAGAGACGGGATGAGAAACGATATGCTCAGACTCAGCCTTCAGCCTGAACGCGTCTTCAGCAATCCCGTGCTTCTGTTGCACACGGGCGGGGCAAGCAAAATCAGCGGGGCTCCCTAGATTATCCACCCTAATCGTCCGATGCCCCGAAGGCAGCTGGGACAGCGGGGTACACGCTCCGAGGGCCTTAAAACTCATCTCGTTCTTGGGCAAACTTATCGTGGCCCCCATGAGGTTCTGCATCCCGATTGGGAGGAGAGGAGGCAAGTCCTGCCTCACGGCTTCCATTTCCATCGCTCCGACGCCGTCGCCGACCTCGATGCGGCCGCCGACGCCGTTCGCGTGCCGGTTCGAGCTCGAGCATTCGAGGGATCCTGAAGCCCTTCTTGGCCAGCGCGGCGTCCAGCGCCTCCAGCGCGGGCATCCCGATGACGGCCTGTCCAGCGGCCGTACCCACCACCATCGAGCCGCCGTCGACGGTCAGGAGGACCGGGAACGCCTCGTCCTGACCTCGGAGCTCGGCGAGGGCCTCGGCCACCAGGCTCGCGATGTCCATCAGCACGGCCCCCGACTCATTCCTCAGGTGGAAGGTCGACAGCACGAGCCCTGATCTGAGTCGCTAGCACCTGTGTTCAGTGGGCACTCCCTCTGCTAGTGACTGCTTGCACTTGTGACAGTGCGTCGCCTTCATTAACTCCGTGGGTGCCAAGCGCTGTTTCTTCTCACGCCTAGGCCGGTCCCCGACAGGATCTGGAGGCTTGACATATTTCCGATCCGTGCGAAGGGTGCGCTCGAAAGTCTTATTATCCTTACATGTCTTCTTCCGCTCTCGGGTAAGATCGAGCGTCATCAAGATCTCCTTTTCGCCGTCGGTGTCTAAACTCGGCGCGTCGCTCTGGTTGTCGTCATCTTCTATGCTGAATGTCGGGAACGACGAGCCTTCCGGCGGCACCTCCAGGAAGATCTTCTTGGAGGTGCTGGAGAGAAACTCGTTCCTGGTCATATCCATATCCTTGATGGCCGTGTGGAACGCTGCTACACGACTGTCTCCGCGCGTCATAACACGTAACATATGGTGCCCCGAATCATCTAGCGACACTCCCTCTTCTAAGAAGAACATCTTCTATTCGTCGTCCAACTTGAGGCCCTGGACCCCGAGCTGGTCGAACTGCTGCTGCATTCTAACCGAGTGTTGCGATTGGCTCTCATTGGTCTTCCGCTTGTAGCCCAAGAGACACTCGGCCTGCCTTCCGCCTATCATCATCATGACGCTCTCCACTCCATGCATCGAGTCGAGACAGGATCTCCCTCGCCCCGGACTCGGCCATGAGCATCTGGCCGGGCATATCTTCAAACCGCCGCTGCATCTCCAGGTCTAAGGTCTGGAGCAGCTTGTTCGCCCTCTTGGAGGGCCTGATGTCCGTGCCCTCGAGCCAACGGCGAACTCGCCGTCGCCAAATCTTGTAGTCTCGCCAGCCCATCCAGGCTGGTGGATTGTCCATGTCCGGCTTGCTGTTGTACGGCCTGTCGTACCACGAGTCGCTCACCCACGAAGATCCTTGCTAGCGCTGGCCGGCCCATCCTCGCGAGTTCTCCTCGTGATCGTCCTCGAGCGGTTCGACGCGGCTCCACCTCATGTCGCGATCGCCGTCCTTCCCCGGGTCCCCTTGAGTCTAACTTGCTGAGCTCCCCCATGAGCCCTGGCTCTCCCATGCTGGACTCGGACCGGGAGTCTTCCACGGGTCCGACTCCGTCCGAGGATCTGATGGCTGGCTAGCTTCCTGACCTCGTGAGCGCCAACCGGCACCCTCAGATGTCCACCACGAGGTCTCTGCTACACTTGACGCGTTCTTGGCCGCATGCGTCTTCGACAAGTCACCGAACGTATCGATCATGAGCTGCTTCAGCTCCGCCTTCTGTGCTTCCGTGAAACCGGACTGAGAAGCCTTCCCTGAGGCCACACCTGCTGCACCTCGTCCCACGAGTCGCCCTTGCCCTCCCCTCCCCCCCCTGCTGCCCTGCAGTCGTTTGCACAGCACGTGAAGTGGGTCGCTCCCCTCTCTCCGCGGCCCCTCCTGGCAGCCCGCACTCGCTGGAAGACAGCCCCGGGATGGGGATGGGGAGGACCGGGGACGGCCAAGAGGGGGGGCGTCCAAGAGGGGGGCTCGCAAGTCCTGGCCCGAGGCAGGTGCGCGGACGGGGTGGGGGCCAAGTGACGCCTTGAAAGAAAAACGGGGGCCATGATATCCAGGGAGGTATCCTGGCCCCCGCCAGGACATCCACCTCCCCCTAGTCATCCCCCCCTCCTTGGACGCACACCCGAGAGGCGGGGAGCTTCGAGGAGCGCCTGCTCAACGGCGCAGATCTGCTCACGCTGCCCGCACACGCTCGGTGGAGGGACTGGGCGGACACGGTGAGAATCGGCCAGCCTCAGCAGCAAGGCCGAGTACCTGGGCGCTGGACCCCTGCAAAGGGCAGCCCCTGTCCCACAGGAGGGGGGGAGTGGGGAGGAAAGCAAATGCCCTCCCCCTCGCCCTCCCTCTTCCTTCCTCCTCCTCCTCCTCGTCCTCCTCCTCCTCCTCCTCCTCCTCCGCCTGCGCCTCCTCCTGCAAGTAACTCGGCTTGCCCAGGCCCGCGCCTCAGAAGCCCACCCTGGGTTGCGTACCACTGGTCAGGAGGCAGAAGGCCCTCCTGTCGTCGCGATGGGGCATCCGAAGCGGGCGACTCATCATGATAGCCGAGCGCTGGCCCGGTTCCGCGTCCAGAGGAGGTCCTCCGCGGACGGGTCGACGCCGCCACGGAACTTGCCCAGCCCTCGCTGGGCACCCGTCTTGCGGGGTTCCCCTGGGCACTCGTCCACGAGACAGTGGGATCGGCGGGCTCGGGACACTTAACAGCTGGCCTCCACCCAAGGAACAAGGGATCTCCACCCCCTGCTCCTCTTCCTCCTCAGCCTCGTGGCGGCGCCTCCTGCAGGAGCAGGAACACGTAACTGCGTGGTCTCTGCCAGGCGTGTGGAAACACACACGGCAAGATTCATATGCGGAGCATGCAGAGGATACGCGGCATGTACGGGCCGCTGTAGCTCCTCCGCGCAAGGGTCGAGCGCTGGGAAGACTTGCAGCCACATCCATATCCACATCCAGCCCTCGCCCTGGCAAGCCACGTCAGGTGGCCGACTCGGAAACAACATGCGCTATGTCCCAGCGCTGGCTTTTGCTCGGGGGTCGACCTTTCATTCCGCGGGCCCCCCGCCGATCTTCTGCGGGCGGAGCCGCCGCCGTTTGCTTCGGCCAGCTTCCGCGGGCCTTCCGCCGAGGCCGAGAGGTCGACCCTTCGATTTATCGAAGGCGGGCGGAGGTTGAGGGCGAGTAGGATGAGGAGGAGGAGGAGGAGGAGGAAGAGGAGGAGGAGGAGGAGGAGGAGGAGGTTCACGCCACGCCACAGCATCTCCACCTACGCCCTACGCAGCCTGCCAGCCAGGCATCGATCACGGAGCGGCCGCTGCCATTCCCCAGCGCCCAACCATGGGGCCTGCATGCACGTACAAGCGCACCTTGGCGCAAGCGGCCCTGTGTGGCCGCAAAGGTTCATTGGCATCGGATAGGCCACCTTCAACCGTCGCGGTGGAGGCTGTGGAACGAGGGCACAGGCACCCGTTACAGCATCAACTGCTGGCTCTCCACGCAGATCAACCCGTCCTCTCGCAGCGACGCGGGCAAGTCGACTGGCAGCCCCGGCATCTTGCGCCAGCGGCTGACCCCGCGGCCAGGGGAGTGCGCGTCCAGCGGCGCCGACAGCTCGCAGCACGGCACGAGCTCGGCGGCCTCTGCCGCGCCAGCCTCGTCCGTGCCCTCGGGCTCAAAAGGCGGCAATCCTGGCGTGCCCGGCAGGATGACCTCCCCGAACAGCCGCCGCCGCCGCCGCCTCGCCGCGTTCGCGGCGGGCGGCGGGATCGCCAACAACAGGGGAGCCCTGGGCGCAGCCGGCTCCGCGGCCGAGAGCGCCGCAACGCCGGGCAGGTCGCAGGCGCTGACCAGCGGCACCTCCCGCTGCCCCCGCGCTCGCAGCAGCTCCTGGGCCAGCCGCTCCTCGCGGTCCTGCAGCTCGCGCGCGCGCCGCTGCGCCAGCAGCGCCATCATGCCCCGGCTGGTCACGACCCCGCTGCCGCTGCCGCGCCGCGGCAGGGCGCTCTCTGGGATCGCTGCGCGCTCGGGGAGCACGCGGTCGTCGACGAGGGGTCCCTGCTGTGCAGCCTCGTCCGCCGGCGGCACGGCGCCCGAGCCCAGGCTGATCCTGCGGGTCTGCCGCATCAGCACCTCGACGCGTGCGGCGCTCATCGCCGCCGAGCGGTCCTCCGGATCGTAGGGCAGCTCGGCGAGCTCGAGCTCCACGTCGGCGGGGAGCCTCTGGAGCCCCCTGTGCTGGAACTCCTGTTCGGCTACACGCAAGAGTGACCCTGTGTAAGAGTGACCTTTGGTGCGCGGCTCTTTGGGGCCGCGGGGGGGGGGACCAAACACAAGCGCGCAAGACGCTACCACCACATCGCGCTCGGCGATCGGGGGACCCACGTGGGCCCACACCAAAGGTCACTCCAGCAAAGGGTCACTTTTACGTGGTGTCGATCCTTCTCAGAGTCCATGAGGTCGTAATGCTCCCTCTTGCCCGTGTCGAAGACGTAGTCCAGAAACGGCTGCGTCAGGGGCCCGTCGCGGACCAGGACGCTGTCCGCGCGGACGCCCAGGCAGTCCTCGGCCTCCTCGAGCGGCGAAGTGGCGGCGCTGCCTTCCGAGGAGGCCCTCGTGCTACTGTTCTCGTCCTCGCTGGGCGGCCCGGCCTTCTCGCCCTCGCCGCCGCCCGTCGAGGCGACGTCGTCGTCCTCGCGAGGGCCTTCCGCGGTCACGACCCGCACCAGCACGTCCCGGCCGTTGATGCGGTAGCGGCCGTGGGAGCGCCGCACCACGCTGTTGTGGGCGAGGACCTCGGGCCAGCGCCGACATATGCAGCGCACCTTCGGGGATGGACAGACCCCCCTTTAGTAAAACGTGGTTTAGTGAAAACGACCTGAGGCCCAAACCTGGCGGGCGCAAGCCTGGAAAATAACGGCCACGGCGCCCTCTCGAGAACCGAAAACGGACAATTCACTAATCGACGTGTCACTGTTGGGGGTTCTGTGCACCCCCGACACCTCGGTGTCGATGATGTCGCGCGCTCCACAGCCCGTGTCGCCCAGCCCGAGCTCTATGAGGCCACGCATCAGGCTGCGGGGGCGCGGGGGCCTCGCGCAGCCCGCGCGCCGAATCGCAGCGGTGGCGCGCGCGCGCGCGTCCGAGAGACCCGCGGGCCGCGAAGAAGCTCGAGGCAGACTGAGGAGGAGCAGCAGCAGCAGCAGCAGCAGTCGAGCAGGAGCTAGACTTCAGAATTGAGTTACCCCCCAACATATGCTTGTTTCGCCAGATCTACGAAAAAACAGTTGGTGGTAAACCATTTCTGACGACGATCTCCGACTCGAAGCAGGAGAACCTCCCCCCTCCCGCAACGCGCGCGGGCCTCGTTTTTCTCGACGTCGGCGCTGCTTGCAGAGGCGAGAGCGGGGGGAGCATTCCTTAACCAACGCCCCCACCGTAGGTCTCGTCCGAAATTTGGTCCGCGCCCGCCTGCCCCGCCTCTGGCTGGCATGCGAGCGGGTCTCGCTGGGCCGCTTCACAGAAACATCGCCCCCCCCGCAGCCGTGGGCGAGAGTGGCGCAGGGTCGCGACGGGCGCAGTTGGAGGCGGGTGCACGCGATGCTGCTGTTCTGAGGTGGCGCACAGACAGCCAGCCAAAAGGGCGCCGATGTTCTTCAAAGCCGCTCACAGGGATCGCAACTCTGGCCGTCGCTCGGACGTCCATTCCCTGTGTTTTTTTCGGTTTCGTGCGTGGCTTTTTCGCCAAATGATCAAGGATGCTCCTCGATGGTCCTCGCCGAAGGAAAAATGCACACGTCCGAGCGATGCCGAGAACTTAGCTGCCCCGATACGCAGCACGCAACCCCTAGCGTACTCACACGGAGCTCAAGACGTGGATCTAGCAGGTAGGTCTGGCGCGATGCGTTCGCCACGGCGTGGGCCCACGCGTGCCGAGCCAGCACGCAGCGTGCCAACACGGACGCTCTGAAAACGGCACGTGCTGCGCTTCACCGCGTGCGCTTCGGGGCAGCGCAGGATCGCAACCCTGGGGCACGCCGCGGCGCTCCCCGCTCAGCGCAGAGCAGCCCGCCGCGGGCACCGATGCCTGATTCAGAGCGGCGTGGACGGGCTGCGGGGCGGGGCGGCGGCGGGTCGCGCCGCGCGGGGGGGGGCGCGGGGAGAGCCGCCGCCGGGTATCGAGGTCGATCGCACGGGGGTCGCGAGGCGGGTGGCAGCGGGCTGGTCGCGGCGGGCGTTGGCAGTGGGCGTATCGCAGAGAGGATGGGTGGGCGAATCGCCAGGTGAGAGTCGCAAGCAAGTAAGAGGGCGTGTCGTGGGTGGGTTGCGGGCTGGGTCGCGGGTTGATTGTGGGGCCAGGCGCGGGTGGGTCGCGGGGTTGGTGGTTGGCATGTCGCGGATTGCGGGGCGACCACGACAACAAGAAAACAAAAACAAGAATCGGCACCGCTGAACTGCACTTCAGCCAGGCACCCAGGGACAATGTAAGATCGTTCGAGCCCCTTCACTTTGACTTGCACCGACCCAACACGCATCAACGAGGCTTGAGGCCAGTCCATGTCACCATGTCCACTTCCGGCGACGCTGGTACTCATCGGTGACTGCTTTGCTGGCAAGCGGTCCAACAGCTTCTTCGCCGTCCGCTGGCGGCGCGCAGTGAGGAAAAACATACGAACAAAAACACACACTGTGAGAAAAAAAACACACAAAAACACACACACAGTGTGTGTGTGTGTGTTTTCCCACGTGTGTTTGTGTGTGTTTTTTCCCACCGTGTGTGTTTGTTGTGTGCGTTTTTCCCACAGTGTGCGCTTTTTACCTAACAGCGTTTGCTGATAGGTTTCTAGTAGGGTCAAAAGAGAGCATCATGACTCCTCAGGGGGGTCTGGGCGGGTGCCGGGGAGGAGAACCGGGAATCGTTTTTCGCCAACAGTCACACACTTCGTGCTCTTCGACCTCCCAGAACTCCATTCCCGGGACACATTCTGGAGAACCGGGAACAGAGCCGGGCTCGCTTTTCGCCAACAGTCACACACTTCGTGCTCTTCGACCTCCCAGAACTCCATTCCCGGGCCACTTTCTGGAGAACCGGGAACAGAGCCGGGCTCGTTTTTCGTCAACAGTCACACACTTCGTGCTCTTCGACCTCCCAGAACTCCATTCCCGGGCAACATTTTGTGCCCGGAGCCAACTGTAGGCCACTTCGTGCTCTTCGACTTCCCAGAACTCCATTCCCGGGCCACATTTTGGATGCCCGGAGCCAACTGTAGGCCACTTCGTGCTCTTCGATTTCCCAGAACTCCATTCCCGGGCCACATTTTGGATGCCCGGAGCCAACTGTAGGCCACTTCGTGCTCTTCGAGTTCCCAGAACTCCATTCCTGGGCATGATTTTGAATGCCCGGAGCCAACTGTAGGCCACTTCGTGTTCTTCTAGTTCCCAGAACTCCATTCCTGGGCCACATTTTGAATGCTGAGGCAAGCTGATGCTGCGGCCGAGGCAGGCTGAGGCTGAGGCAGGCTGAGGCTGAGGCCGAGGCTGAAGGCAGACTGAGGCTGAGGCTGAAGCAGGCTGAGGCTGAGGCTGAGGCAGGCTGAGGCTGAGGCAGGCTGAGGCTGAGGCTGAGGCAGGCTGAGGCTGAGGCTGTGACTGCGACTGCCGTTGCCGCTGCGACTGTCATCGCGAATGCGACTACGACTGCGAGAACAGCAGAATTCTACAACTGGATTTTCATCTGAATCTTAAGGGGAATGCTTTCAGATATGCTTCTACATATCGCTGTTAGGTTGTTTTGCCGGGATAATTTCCCACAGGGGTAGAGGGGCTGCCATCTGGGGAGGCAGGGATTCTCAGTGAGAAGGCCTGGGACGGCTCCCCGAGAGGGCAGCGACGAGTTTGAAGCGGCCGGCTGCTCGTGAGAGCTTCCCATCAGGAATCCGCCGCTGCTAATCGGTACCCCCCTTCGCCCTCGCAGAGACGGGGGGCGCCCATTTTAGAAGGCCGCCCCCCATCGCAGCGCCTCCTCCTCCTCCTCCTCCTCCTCCTCCTGCTCCTGCTCCTCCTCCTCCTGCTCCTCCTCCTCCTCCTCCTCCTCACGCGCTGCCTGCGTGGTGCATGTGAAGCAGTTTCCACCAAGGTCGCTCGCATTCGCGCTCCGTGCTGCGCGAAGTCGCGGCTCCGCGACGTCCCGTTGGCGGCCCCCGGGGAGATCAGCTTGGGCCACAACGCGCGATTACGTTCCCGTCCCCGTACGGGAATCTGACTCGTGATACCCACGCTCGACGGCGCGCCCAGGGGGAGAAGGCTCAGGATGGCAAAGGATTGCTCAGATTGCGGGGTGTTGGCACAAGGCGCGGGGTGTGCCCCACCCCGTGGGGTACAAACACCTACGGAAAGCTCAACACATGGTTCCGGTCTTCCGAGAAGCTTCCGAAACCTCACCCGAGGCCCCGCCGCTTTTTGAGAAGGCCTGCACCCTCTCGCTGCCCACCCCCCAACGCGCCTCCGAGTCGCTGCACGCTCCAGCGAGGCTCCCTGGAACGCGCCAGGTCGTGGGTACTACAGGGCGTCTTGTGGGTGGACTTCCCGCGCGTCGCGAGGGCTGCGTTTGCTTCAGCAGGGGGGGCGAGCGAGTCGGGGAGGGGAGCAGGCGGGAAAAGGAAACGGGTGAGGATGAGCAGCAACACGGGCTTCGATGACCAACGATCTTGGAGAAGCATGCCTCCGGGAAGCAGCCTCGAGGCAAACCCTCCTCTTCCTCCTCCTCCTCCTCCTCCTCCTCCTCCTCCTATTACCCCGCTTGTTCCTCCTCGTCCTGGTCATGCTGCGCTTACCCCTGCCATCCTACCCTCCTCGCCGCATCTCTTCCGCCCTCCCTCCCTCCCTCCACCCCCTATCGTTCCTTCACTCTCTTGCCTGCTTCCCTATTCCTCATTCCTCGATCTCGATCTTCCTTCCTTTCTTTCTTCCTACTTGCTCGGTCCTCCCCCCTGCCCTTCCACCCCCTCCTCCTCTTTCTGGTAATCCTCCCCCCGTTCTCCTCCTCCTCCTCCTCTTCCTCCTCCTCCTCCTGCTCCTCCTCACTCCTCCTCCTCCTCCTCACTCCTCCTCCTCCCCGTTCCGAGCGTCCCTCTTCTTTCTCCATCATGCTCCTACTCCCCCTCCTTCTGCTCCTCCCCCTCGTGGCCCTCTTGCTGCGAGCTGCTCCGCAGACGTAGAGCCGGGCCCGGCCCCACTCGAGGCCACGTTTCTCCCTCTCGTCGAACATGGCGAACGCTTCCCTGAGGGAGGAAGACGATGCGACAAGGAAGTGCAGAGACACGACACTATGGGCCGTCTCGGGCAGGGCTCCATGACGGCGAGCACCCGCCCAGATGCATCACAGAAGGACTGCTCCGTTGGTGGGCTGCGGAGGTGCTCCAACGAAGTCGAGGCATGCACTGCTCGAATCCGCAATCGCGAGAAAGACAATCATCGTATGGGGAGGAAGGGTTCGGAAGAGACAGGATACGA